CTCAACCGCTCGCCACCAGGGAAGCCCAGTTTATACATTTTGATACAGAAATTCCAAGGATAGGAATGTTTTCTAAGAATTCTTAACATAAGCTGACAAAGATGTAAGTAGCATTATTCAAAATAGTAAACGAAACAAAACAAAAACACCCTAAATGTTCACCAACAGAGGACCAATTGACAAAGCATAGCAACACCCATATACTGAAATAGTAATGCAAGTATATAAAGAATGAGATGGGTATGAGTCCAGCTCAGGTTCACACAGTTAGCGTGGATGGATGGAGCTGCGGTTCTAGTCCACACCACCAGACTCTGGAGCCTGAGCTCCCCTACCCGCTGCCCGTGTGGCCCCTCCCCATGCAGCCCATTCACACTTTGCATCCCTCTCTTAGATCAGAAGAATTCCGCAGCCGTACCTGAGGAGTCCAGACAACCCTGCAAAGGACTCATCAATGCAAACCGGTTTGACGACTTCGGCCTTGAGGACACTGCTAGGTGCTTCTCAGCGTGTGCACAGTCAGGGAATGAATCCTGCAATCTGGGAAACTTGCAGAGGTAAAGGGCCCTCTGAGATGGAGAAGGAATCTGGGGGCTCTGGCAGGGGTGGAGTAGGGAGGCCGTTAAGAAGGGATGGAGCTATCAGCCCTTTTGGACCCAGAAAATGCTGCTCTCATCTCACCCTTCCACCTTGTTTGACACCCACGTTCCCCCTGACCACCAAGACTCTATGATCTAGGGGATGCAGCGGGGAAATTAGCCCCTGTCCCTGTCATTGGGAGTTGTGGAGGGAGAGACATGGCCCCAAATGATGGTGATTCTAGAGTGCGATCATACAGAGGGTAGACAAGGCACCAGGTTAGCTCAGAGGAGGGAAATCTGCTAAGGCTTCACAGATGAGGCCACCCATGAACGGGTTTTGAAGGCTGCATAGGAGATTTCCTATGGAGATTGGACTCAAGCAGTGTTAGGGGATACAGGGAGAGCTACAGTGCTTTGAACTGTGAAAGAGTAAAGTGCTGGGGATGGAGGCAACAATGGTGAGGTTGGGTGGGGGGGGTTGGACTGGAAATCTAAGCAGGGACCAAAGTGTGAAGGGTTGTGTAAGCTCTTCCACTGCGGGAGGGGGCAGGGCAGTGATATATTTTAAATACAGGAAGAGCATAGTCAACTTTGCATTTTAGAAAGATGGCTCAGGCTTCAGGGAAGGATATGAGGGTGGTGATGTGCCAAGAGATGTGAGCAGGTAGGATGCAACCGGGGTGGTCTGGGTAAGAGTGACGGCTGAACCACCACCAGCACCACCACCAACTGGCACCGTGTACCTGGATAGGAGCGATGGGTCAGAGACATTGAGTGAAATAGAACCAGTGCGATCAAGAGACTGATAAGACCAAGAGACCAAGAGATGCTGGATTGAGGGAGGGGAAGGGGTTTGGAATACAGCATCTCCAAGAGTCACCTTCAAAAGATCTTTGCCTTTCTCCCCTCCTCTCCCTTCCAACCAGAGTTACCCATCCTCTTCTGGGATACTCAGGACAGGCTTGTATGCTCTCAGTATATATTTGTTGGAGAAAATGAGTGAAAAGTTTATGTTCTCAGACTTGGTGTTAGCACAACCATCTGATTGAGTGCCATCACTTCAGTGGCCTGAAAAGGCTCCCATGCGTGCCTGCAGCTGCTCCGGGAGCTTCGGATCTCCAAGCAGCTGTTCAGGAGGCTCCTCTTTGTGCTGCCTTATGGAGGGCTTAAACACCTTGGGGAAAGTAGGAGCTCTGAGATGTGGACTTGGTTCCCAACTCCATCACTTCACCAAGTTATCTCCTTTACCTTTACAACCCTATGAGGTAGGTCCTGTTATCAACCCTTTTTTCAGATAAGAAAACTAAGCTCCCATAGGTTAAATAACTTGCCCACGTTACACAACAGGTAGGTAGCAAAATCAAACATGAACCTAGGTCTGGAGGGCAGTAGGGGAGGTGTACAGTAACACAGACTAGGGTCAGACTGGCAGTGCTCAAAAGTGGAATTGGACTTTGGACAGGTTAACTTTCAGTTTTCTCATCTGTAAAATGGGGCTGAAATAACACCTGACTTGTAGAATTACTGCAAAGATTAAATACATAATTCAGACACGTTAGCTGTTATCATTATCTTGCCAGCATTGTCATTTCATTACTGTTCCAAAGCCTTTATTCTTGATCTCTCTCCTATACCTTCCTCCTGGTGTGGTTGTTGAGATTGAAGGAGATTATGCATGGAAAAATTATTAGCAAATAATAGGAACTCAATAAATGTGAGTGTTATTTTAATGACTCTTTCTGATTATAAAAGTAATTTTATTTTTAGATTTTATTTATTTTTTAATACATTTATTTTATTTATTTATTTTTGGCTGCGTTGGGTCTTTGTTGCTGTGTGCGGGCTTTCGCTAGTTGCAGTGAGCGGGGGCTACTCTTCGTTGTGGTATGCGGGCTTCTCATTGCAGTGGCTTCTCTTGTTGCGGAGCACAGGCTCTAGGTGTGTGGCCTTCAGTAGTTGTGGCACGAGGGCTCAGTAATTGTGGCTCGCAGGCTGTAGAGAGCAGGCTCAGTAGTTGTGGTGCACGGGCTTAGCTGCTCCGCGGCATGTGGGATCTTCCCGGACCAGGGCTCCAACCCGTGTCCCCTGCATTGGCAGGCGGCTTCTTAACCACTGCACCACCAGGGAAGTCCAGTAATTTTATTCTTCATAAAATAGTTAGAAAGTAGCTATAAGAAGGAAAGTGGAAAGTTCCCCTTCTTACTATCCAGAGATAATCATTATTTTCATTTTGGTGTATTTCTTTAGATAGATAGATAGATAGATACATAGATACATAGATAGATAGACAGATATGGATGGATATAGATAGCTATAGATATATCACATACCTCATTTATCCATTCTACTATGTTGATGGATAGTAACATTTGGGTGGTCTCCAGTTTCTGGCTTATACAAAGAGTGTTGCTGTAAATATTTTTGTTCGTGTATTTTGGTGAATGTATGTATTTCTGTAAGGTATATTCCAGGAGTGAAATTGGTGGGTCATAGGGCAGGCATGTGATTAGCTTTAATAGAAACTGCCTAACAGTTTTCCAAAGTTCTTGAACCAAATTTCACTCCCACAATCAGTGTATGATAGTTCTAGTTGATTCACATCCTTGTCAACACTTGGTATTGTCTGATTTTTCATTTTAGCCGTTCTGGCAAGTTTGTACTGTATCATATGGTGATTTTAATTATATTTGCCTGATTAAGTTTAACTTAATCTTTCATATATTTATTAGACATTCTGATATCCTCTTTGTGAAATGGCCTTTTAAGTCTTTGGCTTCTTTTATGGGGTTGTTTGACTTTTTCTGAGTGATCTTTAGGGGTTCTTTATATATTCTGGTTACATGTCTTTGCAAATATATACACATGAATATGTTCTCCTTCATTGTGGATTGCCTCTTCATTCCCTTAGCGTTGTCTTTTGACTACAGACAGACATTCTTAATTTTAATGTAGTGTAATATACCAGATTTTTACTTTATAGTTAATGCTTTGGGGTCTTATTTAGGAAATGTTTGCATCTCCAGGATCATGAAGATACCCTTCGATGTTTTCTTCTCAAAGATTTATTGCTTTATCTTTCACGTTTGTCTCTATGATCCACTAAAAGAAAGTAAAATACTGTGGAAAACTCCTACTTTTCAGAATTTTCGGCTTAGCTAGTGCCTCTCAGGCTATAGAGTCTCACAATTCTGAAAAATGTCTGGAGGAGAAATCAGCTGCACATTTGAGACCCTTCGAGTGCCCGGGTTTATTTCTTCACCCTCCGCACCACCCCAACAGCACCACCAAGACCACCAAATGCCCTGTTTATACTTGACAAAGTGCTCTTGTGCCTGTTTGCAATCCAAACCCAGCCGCAGTCAACCACTGATCTGTCTGGGCATTTTATATAAGGAAACCATACAACATGTTGTCTTTTGCATCTGGCTTTCTTCACTTAGCACGTTTTTGAGGTTCATTCATATTGTGACAGCAGGGCATTTTTATGACCAGCAGTGACCTCTATTCAGATGAAGCTCAAATTCCCAGCCTTTCATCCATGCTCAGACGAAGAACATGCTTAGAATGAGCACATGTCCCCGGGGGGAAAAAAAGCAACAGCAGATTTTCAGTTCATTTCTCTATGATGCTCCCTCTGCAGAATTTTAGCCCCTCTCTGCTTTAGCAGCTCTCTGATGCCCTTAAGCAAGTTATTTCTGTATTATATCTAGCTTTTCTATTTGTTCTCAGTGAGAGCATTGATCCATCACAAATAACTCCACCCTACTCAGAAGCAGAATTCCAAGAAAATCTATTTTGAGGTATTATACACACACACACACACACACACACACACACACACACACACACATATGACAGCAAAATGCATACATGTTAACTGTACAGATCAATAAAATTTTACATATTTATATATGCATCCTTTAACACCCACATTAAGCTATAAAACTTTTCTAGCCTCACAGAGGGGTCCCTCATCCCCATCAATAGTGCCACATCAATAGTGCCACGTCATGGTAACCATTACTTTAAGTTCTATAACCAAGTAATGATTTTTCCTGTTCTCAAACTTCCTATAAATAGAATCACATAGTGCAGACTCTTTTGTGTCTGGCTTCTTTCCCTCATCTGTATGCCTGAGTTTCATCTTTTTTTGTTGTTGTTGTTTGGTTGGTTTTTTTTTAGTCTATCAATAGTTTGCCCTCATTGCTGCCGTTTAGTATTCTGCGGTATTAATATACCACTATTTATTATCTCTTCTACTGTTGATGAGCATTTCCATTGTTTCTGATTTGGGGCTGTCTTAGTTCAGGCTGCTGTAACAAAGTACCATAGCCTGGGTGGTTTAAAAACAGAAATTTATTTCTCACAGTTCTTTAGACTGGAAGTCTAAAATTGGGGCTGGGTTCTGGTGAGAACCCTCTTCTGGGCTGCAGACTTCTTGTACCTTCACATGGCAGAAAGAAGGATGAGAGAGCTCTCCGGGGTCTCTTTTATAAGGGTACTATCCCATTTATGAGGAATTACCTCCCGAAGTCCCCATTTCCTAATACTGTCATGTTGGGGGTTAGGATTGCAACATATGAATTCGATGGGGCAGGGACACAAACATTCAGTCCATAACAGGGGCTATTATGAATAAAGCTGCCAGGAACATTTTTTTTTTTTTTTTTTTTTTTTTTTTTTTTTTTTTGTGTGCT